CGCCGACTCAGCCGAAGGCAAGTGATAAACATGTCACAACAGTCACTCAGCTGACTGCGGGGTCTCCCCGACACAGCACAACTGAAGAGGGCCCGAACTGGCTGAAGCAAGACGGGGAAGATGCGAGGAGCTTGTGGGGTGACTGCTCCGAAGCCCAGGCCGCAACTACGGGATCTAGCTCCGTCACGGTGGAAGCCACAACCACCGGCACCACCACGACCTCCAATTCCACAGATCCTGGCTCCTGGGCTGGTTGCAACTGAGTGACATAGGTAGATGTCGAATGCCGACCCTGTCGATTCTTCAATGCTGAGATTTGTGAGACCAGCCAATCAAAGAAGCTCCGACTGCGACTTTGGTGAATCTTGTTGTGTTAAGGTTCCGAGAACACTTCTACATCGACGATTACCGTCACCACCACGCTTGCTCCGAACGTTGCTTTGAGGAGAGGCTGCCACATCCGATGTCGAACGGAGATACACATGCCTGGTTGACCCCAGGCATGCACCTGCTTAATCGTCACGTCACGGTTACGAAGCTTGCAGGAAGCCCATCCGTGCCTCGTCTCAGCGGTCGCCCACGGAGTACGCCGCGCGTGCGAATGATGGCGACGAGAGCACGCGCTGGGCATCTGGGGCAGGCCAAACGGACCCTCGGCCACAGACCTAGCATTACTGCCTTAACTCACGGTGATGGTACAGAGCAGATGCTGTCGTCGTAACGTCAGTTTGAATCTGACTTCCGTGTCCCTGCCGTTGCTGGCTCTATGTTTCATAGGGCCGTTAACTTCGTTAGCGCCTCTTCTTGCGCTCAGTTTTGCTTGTTTGGTAGTGATAGAGTAGTTTTCGGGACGTACTACGCCCGTCGTTGGCTAGAGCGGGTTTACTTTAAGTCGTGGCAACGTCGTTGCAGCAGCAGAAGCGGCAGCAGCAACATGAGATTTCGGCACAAGCAGCACCGCGATCGGCACTGCCCGGGGATCTCATCGGGCACGGCATCGGAGTTTGATAATGGCATAGACATAGTCATGGACAGCACGGGAAGATGGAGAGGCTTGTTTTTTCATGAACGCCCTTAGCCTTAGTCGAGGGCTCCGAGACCGAAGGAGTGGATCCTGATCGATCTCCTGGGCAGCCACGTGTTGCACGGGGGAGTCGTCTTGTGGGGCGATGCCGTGCCGGCCAGCTATGGCCTCGAGGCCCGCGGGACTGCTCTAGGGCTCAGATCGTGATCCCCGCGAGCCCCCGGAGCTGCCGGCTTTCGCAGGTCAGTTCTGATGGCGTGAACTGGGCACCGGTGTGCCCTTCATGCATTCAGAGGCCAGGTAGAACCTTACAACGACGCAGTTGCTGCGTTCTTCGTACAAAGCATTTCTCCTCTCCCGGCTCGTGCATAAGGTTTGATGAGATGGAGCCGTCTGCGGACTACCGCAACTACCACAACCTGCCCAGCATTATCGGGCAGTGGCTGAAGGTGACATGCCACAACGAAGGCACTGCCGGATGCAGCATGAAGGAGCGGGCCTTCTGCAAGAAGGAAAGACTTCCATTTAGGTCCAGATTCTTCTCTGCGCCAGGAAGTCTTGGTGCACGGCATCCCGGCAGCGGACGTGAGCCTGGCCGAGCTCGAGGAGCTGGCGCAGAGGCCACGCGGGGGCGGGGCCCAGTGCAGATGGCCTGGGTCCATGGGGTCCCTCTTTTTTGTCTGTTCCCTATGACAATGACGTTGGGTGTAGAAAGAGGCTTTTGACATAGCCGACCTTCACACTGACTCAGTCCCCCTGTATTGTATCATCACTGCCGGTCCATGAAGTCAACTCAAAGCTGCAGCCGGAGGACGTCCGTTGCGGGCAGAGTCTTCCCGTCGGCGTGCTTGGCCTTCATGTTGCTGAAGATGATTGTATAGTAAAAAAGGGAAGTAGTTGAGGCCCTGCCTGAATGTTTGAGCGGTGGGCTTTTGGCCCGTTGCACGTATTCTGCCATATTTTGCGTATTTTTGCCTAGCTGGCCAATGCTGCGCTGGTGTCATCCAGCCATTGCCAGAAAAACGCGCGAAGATATGGCGTTTTTGAGCGACTGTGATGTTGGAGTTTACTTGTACAGCCGGCCGTCAGTTTCCGGCCTTTAACATGTGCAGGATGTGTATGGACAGCCATACTTCATCCTATGTAGAATTTCGAGACCCTTTGTACAGCAGGTACTCTGCACCTGTGCACGCTTCTTGATAGGGGAAGCACTGCTACAAGGGCATTGTTGAGAACGACCTACTCTGGCGTTATGTGCAGATGTCGCCTTTGCGAAACGTCCGACGTGAGCATGTTCGCAGGGGCGATTTTCCACTCTGTGCCACCCTGTATGTCGCAACTTGTTTAAGGTTTTCGTGACCATAGCTTTGTGCTGACAAGGGCATGAAAGTGATGCGTCGCACCATGTTGCTTGGCCCGGCAGAGACTGGGAAACACGACTTTCGCATCGTCACCAACGTGACGGCATGCGACTGTTTCGATGTCAGAATGCGCCACTCAGAAAAGCGTTTCCGCAGCCTGTTGAGGAACCCGAGCTCAACCCACCGATTAAACAAAGCTCAGATTCTCGTCCCGTGCTGCTCCTTTAGGAGGACTGGGCAGTGGAAAGGAGACTGTCGGGGTAGGAGCAGTGCCAGCGAGTATCTCGTTCGTCGATGACATGAAGGCCCTCGGCTCATCGCGCAAGATCGCATTTGAAGAGCGGCGTGGCCCCCAGGTGCTTGTGCGTTTTCACACAGCAGCCTTTAACCAAGATCGCAGTGTTTGTTGTGCATGGACGTCCGCACAGCCACTCTCTGCCAGTTACAGCGACGAGCCGCCAGTGAACGTTGCCACGGCAACGATGCCGAGGTGCCTTCAGGAGCTGCCCCTGGTTGCAGCACTGATGAGGCCACGGACAGCGGGTGGTGCGATGTCTTGTGCGTTACGGCTAAGAGGGTCATAAAGCTGCACATTAACCTGCTGCCTCAATCACTCACCTCAGGAACTGACAGGGCCTTCCCGAGCGATGACAGGGTCTCGAGCTTCGAGTGTACGGGTCGAAGAGCTTTCCGTTTCAGATGTGAGTACACTCCAAGTTCTGCCGGGCAGGGGCTTGGGACTCAGGGTCTTGTACCGAAATTCCAAGTTCCACTCCTGCAATGCCGCGCAGGGCCTACATTCCCTCCGCCGCCTCGGTTCTGTTCGCAGCTCTCCAGGTCTGCAAGCGAACTGTTACCTCTGTTCCCAGTTTTGTCTGAGTCAGAAGACCTGTGCTTCTTTATTCCTGGATGCTGCTGGTAGCCTCAGGGTCGGGTGCGTCTATGTGTGTGTATATACGTGCACACTCATGCAGGCATGCATATCATTTCATCTGTACAAGTACCTGCCCTGAGTACCTGCCTCGACCCGCACCAAAAATCGCTGTTCTGAAGAAGTTACGTAGTGCAGAAGCGGAAGGAGGAGGAGCAGGAGACTTGTTTCAGTGGCCCCAGGAGCGGCTGCTCGCTGCCTTTCGACGCGAGGCCGGGGAAAGGCAGAAGAAGTCAAACATAGCGTTCCCGATAGGCAAAGTCGAAGCCGAAGTGTTTGGGCCTATCATCGGTATAAGGTAGGCTGCGGAAATGCATTCGAAAGCTTACCCCGGTGCAAACGCCGCCCACCCCCAACCCTACAGTGAAGCAACAGAGTGCTCAGGCACACCACCAGTCCGACGATGAATTTCTGTGCAAAGTCCGCGGACACCGGGGTTTGGGAATTGCCGACAGCGTCTGTTGACCATGCATCTTCTCATCAGCCCAGTCCACAATGTCTGACACGGCACACGCCAAGACTATGTGCCTGAACGCTGCTCTGTGCCAAACGCCTCCATATTCCATGCGGTGCACTCGTCAGACAGAACTGCTCTCTCTTGAGAGGCAGACTGCACGTTTTGCAATCCGCAGGAGTCTTCGAGGACATTGGGGCCGCTCCCATTAGCCATGCCGACATGTTTCCTCCAGTCCTCCAGTTCTTTGATTAGTAGCCCGGAATCTATTCTCACGTGCGTTCTGCCAGGGCTACTGTTTCGTGAAAGATATTCTCCATGGGACTTGAATCGTTGAGGCCGTTTGCATCGGTGACACGGCTTGGCAATGCATCCTAAGCATGAGAAACTTTGTCGTGGCATCGCCAGCTCGTCAGCAGAAGTCATGACCACAAGATGTCGTAGCCATCATCGTCGTCGCAGTAGTCGTAGTGGTACTGGCGGCGGTATTTAGCAGTACAAGTCGTCGTCCTCGTCGTAGCAGTAGTCGTAGTACTGGTACTTGTACTAGTACTAGTACTAGT